GCGTACTGGCAAAGGGTTTCGAATTCCCTTCGTCTGAGCGTTAGTAATGATCCAATGTTTTTAGGCCGCTTACTCCCATAATGAATCGGGCTAGGAACTGCCTCGTCAATTCTTTCCATGATCCAATGCTGTTGGGGGGAAGAGCCTCAAACCACTTCATCGCGGAGTCCCCCAAGCTCATGAAAAATACTCGACAGAGGAACCGTTGGTCTGAATGATACAGGGACATCATTTGCTTGTATTGTCTAAGGTGGGCTTCGGGATCAGACCGCCCATCGTAAGTTTTGAACCTCGGCACGACGAACTTTTTTGGAACCTCTATCTCTCTGATATCTTTGGTAAAGGGTGATTGTATGACCTCGTCTTTGACATTATCCTAGACAGTCTTACCCTTTCTCTTGGATTCCAACCGAGCTCTAAGATCAATTTCCTCCCAATGGGATGTCTTTTGAGGTCTCCAGGTTCATTGATGGGGTTCCCTTTTTTTGGGCGTCGCGTGAAAAGGGTTGAATCCTCCTCAGATTCGTCTCCCTTCCTCTGCCTTGACGGCCCTCGCCGGAGGTTGTCCAGGGCTAAAGGCCTTACCTTTCTGGAATAGTCATCGAGGGGGTGCTCGTTGGCTCTTGGGCATTTTGGGGCCCTGGAGCCTTCAGCCTTGTTATTTAAATGATTTCTCAGGTCCTCAGTTTCTGCTTCTCGGGCGGGGAGTCCACGAGAAGGGAACGAGTCCCTCGACCCTTCGCCGGAGGTGGCAAATTCGTTGAGCCGGCTTAGGACGTTCACATTGTCTTTTTCCAACTGTCGTAATCGATCCCAAAACTTTTCTTCTATCACCTCCGCCAGTTGACGAGCCAATGGGGCGGATTCTCCTGACCTGATGCCCATACTGGTTTGAGGAGTAAGCCCCCTTGACTGAATAGAGATATTTATGTTGTCATCAGCGTAACCCTTCCCTCCATCATGACGAGGAGCTTACAAATCGAGACTTCTTTGCTGGGAACCTTTCCCCTTGTGTCTAGTATTCACCATGATCATTGTCCTTTTTAGAGAAGAAACTAGGAAAACTAGTCGTTTTCCACAGACGGCGCCAGATTGTGCGTGCAGGATATTGCACAATATAAACACAAGAACATATCTCTCCTGTGGTGAACTCGAGTCAGTCAATCGAATAGTCAACCTTGTTGCTTGGAATAGACTGTGAGGTCCGGTGGTGGACTGGAACAGTAATGGGTGACTTTCGTGGATCAACGGAGCGGTCCAGTAAGGCTGAGGGAGGTTCCTGGAACAGAGAAAAATGAGTTAGGAGGGCGCCAGAGTATTTTTCGGCGTATCCCCTCCGACGATCAAGTCAGTTCTTTGAGAGAGGGGAAGGAGAAAACACTGTATTTCTTTGAGAAAAGGTTTTTTTGTTGTATACCGTCTTGCTTTTATGAGGAGTACTTATACCTCAAAAATTCATGATTGCTGTCAGTGTGGTCAGTAGGTGATCATTAGATACGGGCAACGTACGCACTGATTCCTATGAGGAATGTCTTCTCTCTTAACTGCTCGGGACCCCGAGCAACTAATGCTTCATCATCGGCCTGCCGAATGTTTAATGAGCTTCTCTCGGCAAGGATGTAATAAATGCCCAGTCATAGGGACATTTATTACCTTTCATTTTGAGTCTTCCTGCATTAAATGATGTCTCATCAAGGGAATGGTGCACTAAATGCTTGCTTTTCCAAGTCGTGTGTCAGCAAGGGCATCTCGGTCTTTTTGTCTCTAATCTGACACAATATGTCACGCGCCCATCCCCCATTGGTTGTGTCTTCTGCTTTCTCGTGCCTTCTGACACCAATTGTGTAAGACGAGGTCATGATAGCTAACCTAACCTAGTCTAGGCTAATGACCTGTACATCAATAGCCTCTGCAGAAGCAGAAAACGCCAACCTGGACGGGTACATCTCGGTACCGAAAGAGTGGTACATGTAGGGACCGATGTACCCCATATCCGACCGAGGGATACGTGTTGGTACGTAATGTACTAGGTGTCATTGATCCCTATGAATAGTACCTCGGGGGAAGAGGGACTTGTGAACCGACGAGTACGTGTTGTGATCACAGTAACAAGAATATACTAATGTCGAGTACACTTGTCTTCATCTTAAAATATTTAAAAATATCTCATCAGTCACTAAATATCCTGGCGAAGTATCTATACTTGCACTAGGACTGCTGACAAACTTGGCTTTGGTAAGTTCTGGTATCCTTTCATTTCAGGTCCATCTAACAGGATTCCTCTGTTTAAGTTCTCTGTCGCATAGCTTTTGCAGTGCAATAATGTTGAAATTTTTGCATTAGGTTGTCAAAAGGGACTCGTCCTTTGCAAGCAAGGTGAAAAGAGTGGTCATACTTGGTGGAGCATTCTGTGCTTTAGGAAATGTCAATCCAGCTACAGAAGCAAATGTATGGGATAAGTGTTATTACTTCTCTGTCCCTTAATGTGAGAGTTGATGTGCATTACTTAATTGTACATATCACTCTTAGATATAGTAATCTTCTTGAGATTTGTAAGTTAATTGTCGAATCCTCAGGCTCCTCCTATTTCAACATAGATCATTTCTTAGTGAAGTTAGCTTTGCTGTTCTCTATTACACATGCCTTGAGATGCATATTTGTTCCATTGGCTTCTTTTGTTTTAATGTAAGTCATTTGAATCCTTGATATTTGTGTTACCTTTGAATAGATTGTATTAAGTCACTTTGGCCGCTAACTTTTCAAATTCATAATTTTTTGTCTAAATTGTTTAGATTTCATGGGGGATTTTTACTACCTTAATCTTGAGATGTATCTTCAAAAAATTGGGGCTAGACCTTTACAGACCAGTTATGATTGTTGTCTATCAATATAAAGTTATGAATACATGTAAGACCTAAAGCTTTTTGGTTTTTGAGCCACTAGGATGAGAATTCATTTTGTGGAGCAAAACTTCAGTTACCTGGAAGAGTTCGAGTATGGTGTCCACTATATTAGTGTGGAGCTTGATATTATCTGCAATAGGATTTAGTTCAAGTTTTTTAGTTAAAACCATTTACAATTAACCCCCCCCCCCCCCCCCGTCTCTCTCAACCAACACCTAAACAAACCCAAGAAATCAAAAGATGCAAATAATAACAAGAATAGTGATAAATGATAATAAAGAGAACAGAACTGAAAATAGTCCTTCTGACTTGCAAATCTATGGGGACCTTGAAGCAGCAACAGATGTTGTGTTCATCTCTGGGGCAAATATTGTTGTTGGCATAAATATTACAGCACAAGTCATATTGACACGTGCTATCCCACCTCTATGTTTTCTTATTTTCATTCTTCCCCAATTATTGAACTGTCCTCTGAAAAAATATTCTTTCTTTAAAATATACTCGCTTATTTTTTCAGACACTGACCTTTTCGAATTGAGATAGTCTCAATGAAGACATGCTCAATCTATATGCGACATGTGCAAATTTTACCGTGACTGGCATGTGAAGTTTGATGGCGTCTACGGTATCATTCTCTTTATAGAAAATGATCCTAATATATTCATGTTTCATTTATTTTTCTTTTTCATATGTTTTGATTGAGTTAATGAATCAAATTTTTGTATTGATGAATTTAGAAATTTTCCTTCATGACCCAGTCTATTTTGTGGCTCTAGTTCGGCCTGATTTATTCACATACAAGAAGGGCGTATGACAATGTATGGTACATAGATTTATAATTTTTTTTTTCAATTGTATTTGTTTTGACTTCTAAAAAGTGGTTAACACATGTGGTTGTAGATTCATCCAAAAGTAGACCTGCTTAGTTCTCATTTACCAAGACAAGTAGTGGCGAAGGGGATCCTTGTTAGTGTGGACCCATCGAAAAAAGTAGAGAGATTATTATTGAGACCTAATTTTTTGAACGTATATGTTGAGGAAGCAATAGTGTCTAATACTTATTTGATAAAACTTTTTCCTGGTGTAATTACTGTTGGGCAAGCAATGAAAAAAAGTGTTGCTTGGTCATCTAGTGATGTATTTTTTATCTTAATTAATATGTATATAATTAGCAACCAAACATATTATTGACAATAATAACACAAATCGTATCTTTTGTAGGTGCTATCAAATGAGTAGATAGTGTAGAGAGTAGATGACGCATAGATAGAGAGTGCATATTGTGCATAATTAAAAAGCAAATGGTGCATTGGGAGACTAAATTTTTTTATTATGCATTGACACTTTCATTATGTAGTTTGAAATATTTTGTTTTTAAAATTTCGGATGCTATTTACTTATGCTAAATTTATTTTTGTTAAATTTAGATGCTTTTTTTTTTAGAGATATGCCTATTACTTTAATCAAATGATATGAGTTTTTTTGGGACGGAAAATTGCTGATGCAAACAAAAAAAGTCGGATATGTGATTTTTTAGTGACGACACATTTGCATCGGGTTTTGCTGATGCAAAAATTTTTGTGACGGTTAATTGCCGATGCAAAATCTTTTACATCGCCTATTGCTTGCCACCCCTAATTTGCAGAATCAAAAAATCACGTTGTCATTGTAATTTGCAACGACAACATGATCTTTTGAGTCGCCAAATTGCTGATGCAAAAAACTCATTTTCTTGTTGTGCAACCTGACCTTAACGAAATAAGGATGAGCACAACCATTCCACCAAGTGAAGGGACATCCTTTATAACCTAAATCACTCATCATTAACACTTCGAAAGTTGTTGAGCTGCCATATAGATATGTCGTTACCCCTATCTTCTCATTATTGGACACAATCTCATTGAAGTCTCCTGTGCATACCCAAGGTAAGTCTGATCTCAGAAATAACTTTTGCAACAGTAACCAAGATTGTTTCCTTTGGGCTACTGTTGGAGGACCATAAAAACCTACAAACCTCCCTGGTCTTCCCTGGGTTTCCTCAATGATAGCTTCAATATAAAAATCAGAGAAACTTTTAATAGAAACCTGAAATCCTCTCTACCACAATAATGCTAAGCCACCACCTCGACCTCTTGCATCCACTATCAAGCCTTGTGAAAGTCCAATACTCTGTTTGACACGCTCCATCTCCTTTGTATTTAACCTAGTCTCCATCAAGAATTCTAGGTTGGGATCTTTCCTCTTCACAAGATTGTGAAGCCTTCTAACTGTCCGAAGATTCCCAAGCCCTCGGCAGTTCCACAACACACCTACCATGACTCCCGATGGGACTGATTAACAGTCTCCACCGATTGTAGAACAGAGTGAGAGTCAAAGAATTCATGAGATACCTTTTTCTTTGGACAATGATCAAAGAAAACCAGAAGCTCATTTTCCTCCCTTTTCCTCTTCAAATCAGAACCTGCTTCCTTGATCATCCAATCTTCCTTCGGAGGGGGACCAACCTTCTTACGATTACATTTCCTTTTTCCTTTATCCACCAGTGGAGCCCTAGGAATGGATTTATAAACAGAAACATTCGCAGCAACTGATCCTGGATTAGACATCACAGGGCAATTAATAATTATGGACTCCTTCGTTTGTTTGAGCCTACCCAATTTTTTATCATTGGGTGGTCCAATAAGTAGTTAAGTGGAATTAAGAACAATATGGGCCAAATTATGATTGAACCCACAACAACCTCTGACTCATCCTTATGATTAACTTGAGACAAAAACGAGTGCTTCTGGCCTTGACACCTCATCTCCCCCATGCCCTCTCGCCTACCATCATTCAAAGGAATATTTGAATTGAGTAATGCTATACTGATCAAATTTTGGAATTAATTTTAGAGCTTAAATGACATGGCAACTGACTTGAGTTTCTTTATTTGGTGCTATGTCATTTGGGCCCGAATAAAGACTCCAAGTAATATATTACCAAGTCATTTGAGCTTAAAATTTGATTCCAAAATTTGATCAGTATAGCATTACTGATTTGAATTTCTTAAAGAAGAACTCACACCCATCAAATTAGGAATGGAACCAACCATGTTACCCGTAATGCCCTCCTTCCTAATATCAAGCAACTCTTTGCTTAGATCCCTCCTAAAATAATGAATAATTTTATTTTTGATTAGGGACGAACTATATCCAATAGAAAGAAAATTAATCTCAACTAAGTTGACACTTACTCATTTATTTATCATTTACATTACTCTACCTTTTAAAACTTGTATGCTTAATACATGAAAAAGAAAATAATATATTATTTATAGTATCTAAATTTTTAAAACTTCAAATTTTAACATTGGGAGATTTATTTCAAAGTTTCAAATTTAATGGTCTAGTATAACTTTTTTTCAAAGATATGGTTAACACTTAGGAGCTTTATCGAGTTTACTAGTCAAATGGGTTTGAAGGCAAACTCAAGTCATCTTTAAGAATATATTGGGTTCGAGCGGACCAACTATAGGGCTTATCAGGCTTCAAACCTGTCGAGCCAAGTATGGACCCGTCAATAATCCGGTCTATGGACACCCCTAGTCAAATTGACACCTCTAGAAGCAAGGGCATACCCTTACTAGCAAGGTTTAAAATTTTGTTTAAGTACATGGTTTCGGTTATTGCAGACACAAAAAATAATTAAAAATCTTTCAAAAATACAATAGATCCAAAGGAAAAAATTTAAAAAATTTGATTTCATTCAAAAATATATCAAACCATGAGTATTTTGATTTACTCTGATGGATAATTTTATTTGCACCAAATTTGTACACCAAAATTTGTCCCAAATCAACTATAATCGTTGGATCAATGGATCCCCCCACTAATCCATGACTGTAAATGATTTGATACATTTTTTTTGTGGAAATCACATTGCTCGAGTTTGACCCTAATTGCTTTTCAAATTTGGTTGGATTATTATAAGAGTAATACTATTTAGATTTAAAAATTTGACATAATTTGTTGACATAATGAAGTGGTTCAGTAGCACTATTAGATCAACACTAAGTTCCAATGTTTGATGAGTCCTACAATTAATTCAAAGATTATAATGAATTAAGTTAACAAATTAAGTCAATAAATTAGATTCTAGTAGCATTGCTTTTATTATAATAATGCATCATTGACTTTTTTAGAAAAGAAAAAAAGATTTCAAAATTGTCTGCATATGTAATTATGCATTAATTAGTACTTTGGGAATAAATAAATCTCCTCGTATCTTAATGACCCATTATTAATGGATGACAATGATATTTAATTCCAATGCAACCTTTTAAGATTTGACTAAATGAAAAGGTGGACCAGGGGTGCATTCAAAATACTCTATTTAATAACCCAAAAAGTTTGTAGAATTTAACGTTTTTTGGGGCCCTTTTCAGCACCTGAAGATGTTAATGATGGTGATGCAAAGTGTACATGCCAATGCCATTATTGCAGGGCCATACTTATCCAAGCGTGAGCAATGATTGAAGATAAAATTATAAAATTTTATTTTTTTAATATCGATGAAAATATACTAAATCAAAAAAAAATATCTGAAAATATAAAAAAAATATTTAATATTTAATTATGGTTTTTTTTTTTTTTGATTTTGATTGAATTGAAATGTTTTATTTAATCCTTATCTAAGATATAAAACCTAACTTTAATCATTCGGTCGCTGAATTTTTTCTTCAAATAACACTTTTGATAAAAAAAAATTTGAAACTAACACTCCTTTGAATCTAATTCCTCCTCTAAGTGGTTTCAGCAATAATGTGGCATAATAACCTTAGAAGAGGAATTAAACTTAAAATAGTGTTAATTTGAGAATTTTTTTTATCTAAGGTGTAATTTGGAGAAAAATACCATTCTTATTCTCGATTCTTTAAAATTAAAAAGTAATTAGTGTTCCTTGTATTTAAATGACCCACTAACGTATGACTATGATGTTTAATTCTCAACTTTTCAGATTTGACCTAATGAAAATGGAGGCCAGGGGTGTGCTAATGGACAATTATAATATTCGGGGTGCTCATACATACCAAAAAATTACGGCAGTAATATAATTTTTTTATAAAAAAATTAATTATGACAATTTTTATAGGTGACAATAAATAGCTAATTAAAATATATAATATATTTTATAAAAATATGTACCACCAAGTGACACTACCACGTGATTGACTTGTGAGCACTAATAATTTTCTCGTGCTCTCACATTTTCCAACTCCTGAAGTTCGTTGAATTTGCTGTCTTTTTGGGTCCTTTGGTAGCACTGAAGTGTTAACGATGATGCAAAGGGTAACAGATAAAATTATGATGCTGTCGGCAATATCATATCCAAATAAACTCTCACTCATTAATTTTATTTTAATTTATATATAATATAATTAAAATAATTTATATTTAAAAATATAAGACAATATGAATAATTTTAACAGAAATGTTATTAATCATTAGATAAGTGTATTTGAGATCGTAAAATAAATTTATTAAAATTTATTCTATTTTATGTTATAAATTATTTATTATAAAATAAAAAATTTTATTTATATTTAATTATAATTAATAAAAAATAAGAGATACGAGATAAAAAAAAAAAAAAATTTTGAGTCCCCTAGTAAAGTGTAAATGGCAGTGCTATTATTGTAAGAGGCCATCAATGAGATGCTTCTCCCACTTACTAGTTAAGAAGTCAACTCTCTTCCCCTGCCCACTGCTTTTTGTTCTCTTTTGTCAATATCTTTTTTCTCAACCTTTTTATTCTAATCTCTCTCTGCGTGTGTACTCTCGTTCACCTTATCATGCACTGTTTGCTATCTTGCGCCGTCCTTCCTTTAAATTTCTTTCCATGGGTGAAGTTAGCAAGTGGGCACCCTCGCCACCCTTTACGTGGACTTTTGTTATAATGTGTTACTTATTTTATTATTTTTTTTAGCTGCTTAAGAAAAAGAGGATAAGGAAGAGCATCCAGCGATCACTCTGATAGGCTCTCACCAGTAGGATTATAAAACCCCTAACCGTGCTTGAAAATCTCTCAGGACTAGACATAGTTAGACTAATATAACGACCAATTACCAAACTCCAATAAGGATTCCAAACTTGTGACAAGGTTTGAAGATTATTTAAGTTTGGATCAACAATATAATAAATTATATTTTTAAAAACTTAAATGTATCGTATGTGTACTATTGAGAAAAAAATTTAAAAAATATATATTAGAGATAATTTGGATCGATAAATATAATAAACTAATAATTGTCCGTGTCTAAAGGCACAACGTAACAAAAAATTAGATTAAAACTCGAAAAATACTACATTACCTACAGATTCTTTACAACCTAAAACAACATGTCTATAGAACTTACAATCAAATATAAGAATTATCAAAATTTACCATACCCCCACAATAATTAATATATACTCAATCATCAACACATATCTAACCACTAAAATATTAAGCTAGTCCCTACTAATTTCAAGAAATTTTGGCAGAATTTCTTTTAAAAATAGAAGTCCAAAAAAATATAAACCTGTCAAAAAAATTTACAATCATTATAATACACCATATCACCACAATTATCATTCCATATCTAAAATCATTGTAAAATTAAAAGTTGAAATGTTGAAAAGATTACATAATTTAGTAGAAATAAATTTATTTAAACTATACTATTTACTTGTCGTAAGAATCTTATAACAGAACTTCTAGGTAAACAATATTTGTGGTATAATTCGACCCATCTTCCAGAAAGAGGACAATATTACGATCCAAAAATGTGCATCTAAATAGTGCCACATAAAGGTGTTAATGACTAAAAACAGGTGTTCGCAAATCAATCCCAACGAACTTGACAGATTGCCATAGTATAAGTTAATCGGACAGGAAACTGACGTCTTGTCATTCGAAAAGACAAGTCCAAAGATGTTGGTGTCAATGATATTCTCAGAATGAAGACCAAGTTGTCAATTTTATCTCCATTTAATATTTGAGTTTTGATTACTCTTGAGGCACATCTAACAACCATCAATTACGTGTCATTACAAAGTTTATTTTTCGGTACAATATTTCGTAACAACATTATTGGGCATTCAACTTTCAACTTTAATTTAAACAGTGACAACCCTAAAGGATTTAGCGAGTTTAAGTACTCATTAGGATATCGATTCCTAGTGGTACGATTAAGTTCATCACCTTCAAACATTTTATCTACAGCTAAATAAGTAATTGTCTCTCCCGGAGTAATATTCAGTGCTGCAGCATTTATATCACTGACATCGTTATTGCAAGCAGATAGAATTGTGCGTTCAGTGAGAAAGGTTGGAGTCACTAAACCAACCACATCCAATTGTGGATAAATTCTAAATATCAATTCATTTAGATTGTGACACCGATTTATTGTAGATGGAAGTTGCACAATTCTTGTGGATTGGTCCCAATCTAAAAAATGAAAGTATAATCAGTCACAAAGTGAGATTTAATTCAAAACATCATGTTATAAAATTCAATTTAAGGTGGAATAGAATATTACCTCCATAAAAAAAATTAGCAAAATTAGTATTTCGAACTTCTGTGCCAG